CTGCTCCCAGCCGAGGCAAATCCGCTGCCCCGAACGCGCCCGCACCCGGCTGCGGGGGCCCCTGCCCGAGCAGCACCGAAGGCGGGCAGGGAAGAGGTACCGAGCGGGCGTTTGGATGGCGCAAGGAAGAAGAGCGAGAGGAGCTCCAGCCGAAGACCATAAAGGGAGGGAACAGAAAACGCCTTTTAGTAACAGAACTTTAGGGGTGGTGGGGCTCTTTTTTTGTTTCTGTGTTGGTTTTGGTGGGGGGTTTTTGGGTTTTTTTTTTTAATGTCTACAGGTAGGGTGAGAGCTCCCTTAAAAGCGGCTCTTCCGTACCATCCATGTTAAAATACTCCGGAAACAGGAAATAGGTATCTGCAAAGCCAAGTTTATGCTACACTCTAATAATAAAAAAGTATGCTAGAATTGCTAAAAGCTTTAAATTCCTTAAGAGAGAACTTAATCCCAATCACAATACTTACAACTGGTAAATCATCATACAGGACATTGGTCAGTATTCTCTATCTGTATCATGAACAGCTTAAAACATGGGAATATTTTTGTTTTCCTTTGAAAAGTTAGGTCTTAAGACACTGCTGGGGTATGATCCAGAAGCACACCACGCTCGGTACAGGAAGGCTACTGCCCCCATGCCATCCCTGCCAGCTCCTCCACTTGCGTCCCGACAGACACCATCTCTGCAAGGCAAGTGCCACGCGCATCGGAAGGGGTGCTGCCACAAAAATGCCTGCAAGCACAATTTACTCCACATGATTAACGCACAAGATGCACAAGGCCCATCATTATCGCAGTGTATCAGTTCAGTAGCAGATTCTGGACATAATTACATTCTGTAGGAGAGTAATCTCAAAAATACTCTACAGCAAACTAAGTATTGTTGGATATTTAGCAATGATTGACTTGTGCTTTCATACAGACTTGTTATCAGCACACTGTACAATATCCATGTTCTAGGCTACAGGTGAGTTACACTGCCAGTTCACTCTGAACTTTATTTTTGCAATTAGCACCCTCCCCTCAAAAAAAAAGAAAAAACCCAACCAAAAACCAAAAAAACCCCACAACCCAAAACCCAACCCCCTGTGCAAAACAACCTACCCAGCTTCTCTGCTATCTTAACTCTGGAATAGAAGCTCTATTTCTCTGAAAAATTAAGACATTGTCACAAGGTAAGGGTAATACTTTCCAAAGTAAACCCAATCAATCTGACCCAAGCTGTCAGAGAAAATGGAAATCTTGCAAAATGAAAGTTCAGAAGGGGCAGAGAGTTAAAAAAACGTTCATCTAAGCAAAGTAACACTGAGATTAAACAGCACCTTTTGTCTGTTGACTCTTGTTGAATTTCTTATCACCATTCACTCTGAACAAGGGGAAAGAAAAAAAAAAAAAAAAAAAAAAAGACTGAACTTGGTCAGCAGAAGGTTGTAAAGGATCAATCAGCTAGACTTCAGCCCTTCCCATTTCCTCCCTCCCGCAAAATACAGGGTTTGGAAAAATAAGCAGTGTTTATTTACTAACAATGACATAAAATACATCTTAATATATTTTTATTTCTTTACAAATTAAAAGATGCATTGGAAAAAACAAGTGAAGAAAATGAAAGGTTCATTTATGATTTCATTTCCACCCCCCACCCCTCCCAATATTAATACTAGAAATCAGTATTTGTGGAAGTCTGTGGTTGCTGCGCCTTATATTCCTGGGAAGTTGTTTTTCCCCTCTGGTTAAAAATCCTCTAGATTTTTTGGTTGGAGGCAGTACACGGAGTAAAAAGTCAGCCACATTCATACAAAAACGCTGAGGGTTCTGTCAACTACATCTTGAAAGAGTTTCTCCATTACAATTTTCATACTCCCCTTTCTGTGTAGTGATGGGAGGGAAGACAAACTAGCAGCATCAGAAGAGAAATGGATTTATGTACATGCTACAGGGTACGCAACTAAAACCACAGCCAGATATTTTTCTGATCTTAACATGGACTTTCCTCTGAAATATCAAGCCCAGATAACACGTTCTCTAATCCACCCACATTCTTCCTTCCACTTTTAGTGCTGCTGGTAGCTTAAACTCCTGGGTATTGTAAGAACACTCGTTAAGTGTTCAGACTAAAATATACAACCCCCCTTTCAAAAGTGAATAAACAAAGCCCTTAGAATTCTGAATTTGATTTACACTCACTCCCTCTTTGCAGGAGTCTTCTCATCCACCCTTGCAGAATGGAGCAGCAGAGCAGCCGAAGTGGATGGATTAATCTGTCTGAGGTATTTTAGTTTAACAAACAGGCTTATAAAACTGTTTTGTGCAAGCTGATCATAGGTAGAATGGGGGAGGGCATAAACATCCAGTAATGAAACTCTTCACTATGGCCCAGATGCTTTCAATAACCAAAATCAGGTACTTGCAATACCTACTACAGTACAGTCTAAATCTTAGTTTTTGTATCCCCTTCCTTATATTCCAGGGTACAAAGCAGTCTTAAATTTGCATCAAATTCCTGCTTGTTTGCTATAATTCACAATAATATGCTTGCAAATGGCCACTTCCTTATCATCCAGTTCCTACACAGCCCCACATCACCTTGTTAAAAGTATTTTCTGCTTAAGGTTAAGAGGCTTTTGTTCCCACCACCATCTGGATAGAAAGGTAAGCTCTGCAGGAAGGGCCATGGAACATGGATCGAGTAGGACATTACGGAGCCGTGCAATGAGGAGCCACCACACACACACATCAGGAAGCACTGTCTCTACCCCTACACTGTTCAGAAGCCACTGATTGTTGCTCACTGAACTATAACTTACTCCATTATGGATCTGCACAGCAACGTATAGTACAGGGAAGATTGTGGAAAGAAATTTGCCCTGCTGCCTCCTGGCTTACCACTCATTTCCTTTTTCATGGATTTCTGGTTCAGACAGCCACACGATACATCTGTGCTCTGCAAAGTCATATTTCCCTCTTAGGAGGAGGGGACATGCAATGTTTGGCTGCTCCAGCTCCCATCACCTGACCTGCCTCTCATCCTCCCAACCTGCGCATCCTCTTCACACTTGGAGCATGCACACGCGCCCATACAAACACACAGCAACTACCAGAAGTTTTGAAGAGTTATCGCTTTTTCACCCAATGTTGAATCATGTACAGTGAACCAAAAAAAAACCTACATTCATTACGACAGGATTAGCGAGCATGGGGTGGAGGGGTGAACTCCTGCCAAGCACAGGAAACAATTTAGATACAAGTAAAAGACCTGGTATCAAAGGCCTTTTTTTTTTTTTTTTTTAGCCCTCACCAGGAAAATTTTTCATCTCTCATACAGGACTGGGAGAGGTTGAAAGGATTTCTGCTTATGCAATGTGTATTAAAAATTATGGAATTGTACAGATTTCTATGTTGTCCTTTTTGAGGGCGCTGGGCCTTCTGATCAGGTCATTAGTGGAGACTGAAATGTCACTGCTGAGTTCCAGCACCACTCCCTCCTCTAGCTCAGTAGCTGCCGAATCTCCTTGTGCATGTGACACAGGAAGTCCACGTATGAAGCCCCCCCACTCAGGCTCTTGTCCTCCACTAGAAAGTGTTTGAACAGCATTTCCAGCTTATCTTCTTGCTTCACAATTATTAACTACAAAAAACAAAACAAGAAAAAACCCAACAGTGAGTAGTTAGCAGAATTAATGTTCTTGGAAGAAAGAGCAAATAGCTAAATAGCTCAAAAATCCAAAGATAGACAACCAGAATCACAGCATACATGGCTTATGTGCTTTGACTTCTGTAACTAAGGTGGGTTATGTCTCAATCCTTTCTAAATAGAAGGAAAATACCATGCATATGGGTTTGCAGTAGTATAATAGGTCTGAAAAAAATTAGTTTTAGAACTACAGCAAGCACAGAACTCCAAAACTAGTAATAAAATTAATTTCAGATCCTTTACAACTTTATGGTTGAATCACATTTATGAGATCAGAAAGAATAAATTCAGCATTGCAGCATTACCAGGCATCACCTGCTCTGCTGAAAGGGAAGGGGATTTAAAGCTACAAATGGGGGACAACATTTTTACCTTCATGTAGCGGGATCTCTGCATTTGAAGCATGTCAATAATAGATCGTACTTTCTTTGAAAAGGGGTTTTCCAAGACAGGCAGAGTACTCTGGAATGAAAGATATCCAATCCTCATTAGTCATGCGAAGTAGAGCAACATTAAACAAAACTCAGTAGTTTTGTCATATTACTTAAGGGTAGAGATATGTCTACCCTCACTAACATACAATCGCTTTGATCTCAACTAGTTAAAAGAGAACATAACATGATATCAGAATTAAATGTTAATTATTTGTTCTATTTACATATTGGCTCTTCTCCTCACTGTCAGGGGAGATGTGGCTTGTCAAATAAAGCTAGGCAAAATCATGCCCAACATGCCCAGACTAGGGATTTTCACATACCAGTGCTGCTCTTGTTCCCAGTATGAAAAATGTAACACTATTTTCTCAACTTGCTTTCTCATTGTTTTAAGTTTTGGGCAACTATCA